TTTTCTCCTGCTTCCCCTTAGACAAGGGGAAAGATTAAATAGACAAAAATGGGATGCCTTACAAACGGGCAATTGGAAAGATGACGAATGGCCTCCTGAGTGAATCATCCAGTACTATGGTCTTGTCACTTGGGCACCCCTATATATATGCTAACCATATCATCAGACTGCAGGCTGTTGTTAAAATTGTAACTAATGAAACTACAAGAGTCCTCAATTTGCTGGCAAAACAAAGCACTAAGATGCACACACCATCTATCAGAACCGCTTGGCTTTAGACTATTTGCTGGCTTCTGAGGGAGGAGTTTGTGAAAAGTTTAACTTAAGCAACTGCTGCTTACAGATGGATGATTTTTTAAAAAGTCATAAAAAATCACAGATAAAATGTTAAAACCTTGCCCATGTCCCCATCCAGACTTGGGGAAGATGGACGCCCAATAGCCTGTTTGGAGAATGGTTCTCTGCCTTGGGCAGTTTCAAAACCCTGATAGGGACAATAGGCCTTATCCTGGGCACGTGCTTAATCTTGCCCTGCCTAGTTCCCTTGGTATTGTGGTCTTTCAGGACCATTATGGAGGCCAATGTAGAAACAAAACAAAACAAACAAACAAAAAAGCCCGCCACACATGTAATGATGCTATGAAAATGCAAACCTCTAAATCAAGATGATGTTCTTTGACCCTAGTCAGGTTCAAGCATCAAAGGGGGAAATGTAGCAGGGAGGAGGGCCAGAAAAGAAACAGGCTGTGTTCTGACAATGGGATGGGGGAAGGGATGGCAAAGCAGAGAGATAAAACTTAGAAGAATTGAAACATGAAGGTCACATAGCTCTGGGGAAATGAAATAACCAACGAAGTCTCATGCAGCCACAAGTGGGTTGAACTTTGCTTTTTGCTTCTGTAACCTGCTTGCAAGGGTATATGAGGTGAGACCCCTTTGTTCTCAGGGCTCAGCCTCTGAACACAAGTCCGCTGGGTCTGTGCTGACACAATAAACATTGCTTCCTGCTAATCTGCCTCAGTGTCCTGTAGCTCAGCTTCAGATTCCCGCAACACAGGGAACACTGTTGCACTGATATGAGAGTTGAGACAGATTTACTTATGTAAAGCAAAATAAAAACAAAAACAAAAATAAAGCCAAAGTACACCCTCCAGATAGGATAAAGAAATAAAAACTCAAAAAGGAGCACTACACTGGAGTTCAAGACCTCCAGTTTTTATTGGAGTCAACAGAGTGGAGATGTTAGTCCTACTCCTTCCACATGTCAGGTGGAGGGAAATTTTGGCTTGGGATGGCCAGATTGCACCTGTTGTTTTAGGGGGGCTCCACTGACTACAGGTTGATGGGATCCTGCTGTATGTCATGAACCATTTGTTAATATCAACAATCTGGGATGTGGTCCCTTAGCAACATCTGAGCCATGATTCCTGACCATTAGGTTTCCTAATTCTATACATAGTCCCCATATTTACCTGTGTTCTCTGGTGATTTTTGTCAGGGTTTTGACTACTAAGTCATAACTAAATAAAAGTTCATTTAAGAGTTAGTTTGTGTAAAATTTTCTAGATGACCTCATGGTTAAACAACTGTTGTCCTGGGTGATTTTAATGCAGTTGGTATCCTATACATGTCTGTTACTGGGCTGTTTGAGTTTACTGACACTATTCTCTGCCCCAGCCCCCCCCAACTGATGAGAAAATCTAAGGTTTTACTTCAAGAACAACAACTCAACTAATATGTATATGTAACCTCTATAGAGCTATGATGCTATTGCTGGTTTCCTTATACTAAATATATTTATGTTTTTCAAGTATATCAAGCCTTCTAACATACAAAATTTAGATAAACATAGTAACAAAAAGTTAATGGTACTGATGTACTGTTCTGTTAGCTGCTAAATTGTCCATCAGAATTTTAACCATGACTCTTTTTAAGTTTTTGTCATTACAGTTCTGATCCTTCTGGGGCATTTACAATCAAGTCCATAAAAAATGACTCTAAAAACCAGGTTAGCTTTTCAGACATCTGCTTTTGTTGGATTTTGTTATGTATTGTCCTTGTCTAAAAGTCCATTGCCTAAGAGCCACTTTTTTCTCCCTGATGTGGGACCAAGACCAACCAACCAAAGAAAATCCAGGAAAAAACAAATCCTCACAATGAGGAAAAAAATGAACAATCAAGGAAGATCTTCAGTCTACGGCCATACCACCCTAAACATGCCCAATCTCATCTGGTCTCAGAAGCTGAGCAGGGTCAGGTATGATTAGTACTTGGGTGGGAGACAGATCTTCAGAGAAGACTGCTCAGAGACAAGCAGTTTGGAGACAAGGGGGGGATTGCCATTAAAGTTCATATTGAGTCACTCATGCCAGACCTCTCAAAAATAACCAAGGCTGAGAGAATTTAGGAAATTGTTCTTATACATGTGTGGCTACCTGGCATTAAAGCCCTTCCAGATACAAACTCATGTTTTTAGACAGGGTCTTCCACTTAGAGACAAAAATTACTATTTTTTTTACTGGCTCTAAACATGTCCTTTGATACTTAAAGATGGTGGTTTTAACTTTTTTAAACAAGTTTTCTTGGACTTAAATACTGACAGTATATTGTTGCCATGGTAATTCTACTCAGTTAAAAAAAAAACAAAAACAAAAGATACTGTCTGGGTAAAAGAATAAAATGTCCAACCATTAAAACCCATTGGAGGGGCCCTTTTGTTGTTGTCTTGTCTAACCCCACTGCAGTTAAAGTAGCAGAAATTGCTCCCTGGGTCCACCACAGCTGAGTAAAGCCAGCCTCTCCCAAGTGGGAGTGTATCCCTGACCCAGCCTCACCATGTAAGATCACCCTCTGGAATGCCTGCCCTTCCTCAGCAGGAACCTGCTTGCCAGGGAACAATGAGACAACAGCCATGCTCTAGTCAAGGTAACTACGCACGGAGGAAGCTTGAACATGGGGCGCACCCCTGCTCTCCTCTACACACTTGGACTCTTACTTTTTGAGTTGGCCTTTGCAAGGTTTCCCTCATGTGCTGAATGTTTGTAAGAGAGCCGTTGTTTGGACCTCTGCGCAGCCATACTTTCTATCATGCACCCATCAACAGGCCGGGTATTACATTGGCTCATACACTCCCCAGGTTTGTGAGGTGGCTAATAAGTGATACTGGAAGTCCCAGAGTAAAGAAAACATACAGGCTACATTTGTCATGGAAAGCAGGGTGATAGGTCTTGTCTTGGGAGCCTGTTTGATGTTACCCTACTTGGTTCCCTTGGTATTGTGGTCCATTAGGAGCATTATAGAGGCCACTACAGACAGAAAACAACTGCCCAGATCAAGATGATGCTCTCTGACCCTAGGTGGGTCTGTAGCAGGGAGGAGGACCAGAAGAGAAACAGACAGGCCTGTGTTCTGATAAAGTAGGAGGGGGAAGGGATGGCATAGCAGAGATGAAACTTAAAAATCTAAAACGTGAAGGTCACATAGCACTGAGGGTGAACTAGCCAATAGAGTTACATGTAACCATATATGGGTTAAACCTTGTCTTTTGCTCCTGTAACCTGCTTGCAAGGGTCTATAAGGTGAGACCCCTTTGTTCTCAGAGCTCAGCCTCTGGACACGAGTCCGCTGAGTCTGTGCCAGCACAAGTGTTGCTTCCTTGCCTCTTCCCGTGTCTCTGTTCGAGTTTCCTGTAACACTATCTCCTGGTCTTCCAGCTGGCTGTTCCACTTTCTGGCTTCCTCTGTGTCTCTTCTACTCCCAGCACATCATGCAATGGGAGTGCCTCCTGGACTCCTTGAAAGGGGCTCGGAGATCCCCTGCTAGCTCCTCCAGACCATCAGGTGTCCTTGTCCAGGCGTCCTGTGCTTTTTTCTGCCCCCACTCCCAATCAGCCCACTATAGGTCTGTCCATTATACCCTAAAATAACCTATGTCTCACCTGGGCAGGCTTTGGGCCTCCTCCAAGTACCTTGTCCCATAGTACAAGCCACCTCGTTAAGTCTGAACTGCCTCCTCTTATAAAGTCCTCTAGGAGCCTCAAGATTTCCAACAGAGTCCACCTGGATCCACCATGGGATCTCCCCCAGTCTGTCCAGGGCTGGTGAAGGGACCTCATATCCACCTGTGCTCCAGCAGGGGATGGTCATCCTTCAGCTGGTTGGTTGCTCTTTGACCTTTCTTGAAGACCAGGGTAGTCCAGTCTCTCCATCCCCTGCACTGCTGGTTCCCCAGCACTTGCATGATATCTGTGGCATCTCCTCCCCATCCTTAGCACCTGATTGGTATGCAGCTGCTGCTCAACACCCTGAAGCAGCTAATTAACGAAGAAGAAATAGGAAGGAGAGTGCCCAGGGGGCCTCCTGGATATGAGCTTATGCCTTTCTTTCTTTTTTTTTTTGGAGGGGGTGTAGTAATTGTCTTTCATTAACATAAAATCAAAAAAGCAAGTTTAAGAAAGAGCCCCACAACTGGCCACACCATCCCATTCTCCCCCTGCTCCTTGGGAGAAGTTCAGACTGCTGGGGCAAGAGCCATTGCACATCTTCTCAAGGAGTTGCCACATACACACCTACAAGGGTGCCGGTGGTTAATCAGGAACCCCTTGTCAGGCTTCCTAAGTTAGGGTCTCCTAGACAGTCATGCACACCTGAGCCAGTAAAAAGGCTGCCTGCCATCCCCGAACTCACAATGCTTCTACCAAGACCCTCCCACCCTGATCACCTGATTCTGCGCTCTGAAGAGCCCCTGAGCTGCCTCAGCAGCACCCCCTCCACTCACCCGTTCCCCTGTAGCTCTGTGCACAGTCACTACACAAGGTCCTCAGCCAAAAGGAGCCCAGGCTCTCCAGTGCAGGCCCTGCCTTCTCTACCAGGACCAAGGACCTGAAGTCTGTGAACCATGAAGCTGAGTACGAAGTCACTGGGGGTGGGGGTGGGGATGGTGGTTGCTGAGGACAAATGCACCCCCTCTTTTAAAGTTTTCAGACTTTATTTCATGGTGTTTGACACAGACACATACATACTGAAGTTAGTAATGAGACACCATGCAGCTCCCACCAGCCTTCTTCCTCCCCCAGCAACAAGGGGAGGGTCAGGCTGCTACCCACCAGCTTTATCTTGTCTTGCTCCCAAGAAAACTTGGCTGGGCATTCATGGCAGGGAGTGGGGGGGACAGACATTGCAGTTTAAGGCATTTCTAGCTCTGCAGCCATCTCTGCCATTCCTGCACCTGCCCTTTGGCCTTGGTCATGACTGGGCCTATTCCTGGTCATTCTCAGAAAAGGATGACCACCACTCACACTGGAACTAGTGAGGGTTGCCGTGGGGTAGCCCTCAGCTGCTCTGGGACCAGAATAGGAAAGACAACAGTTCTGCCACTTCAGGCATGAAATAAAACCAATGTATGAAGAACGTCGTTGGTGGTCAGACCTGGACATCCATCCTTTGAGGAGAGGGGCACTGTTGGCTGCCCTGGCAGACAGGCAATGGAAGTCAACCACTTCACACACAGTAGCCCACTTCATTTGAGAGGCTCCCCAAATGTGTGTGGGGGGGGATGGCCACATCCAGAGTGGCAGGGTAGATGGGCAAGACCAGCTGAGGGCCAGTCGGGGCACCCTAGATGGGCCTGGCTTGTACCACCCTAGAACTGGTGGACATATACAGAGAAGGCAGAGTATGGCCCCAGCAGTAACACTGCTTCTAAGTCACAGTATTGGCACAGGGCCCTGGGGTCCAGGCTAGCCCAAGATGAGGCTAGCCCACAGCACACACAGGAAGAAAGAGCAGCTTAAAGTGGGAACCTAGAAAGGCCCCCATCAAATCCCAGCAGCCCCCTCATGCTCTGGTACACATTCCTCATCCCATGCAGCATGGGTGACGTGGGGGAGCAGGGTCTGCCAACAGGCCAGACTACACAAGGGACCAACACATGTGGATAGGCACAGATGCACAGTGCAAGGGGCTGAGGCATGGCACCCTGAGGCAGAGGGGTGTGTCCTGAGGCTGCCTTTGAGCTCAGTGCTCCAGGCTGCCACACTGCCCCTGCAAGTCCTTCCGCACCAGTTTGTCTCCACAGCACCACTGCCTGGACGGAAGGGAGGCTGGGCCAGCAGTCCCTCTGGCCAATACACAGGCAAGGAAATCATATCAAAAAGCAACAAGTTTACAAAAATAGAAAATAATTACAGCAGGAAAGGCGGGAGCTTGGATGGTGGCTCATGGGGCAGCGCAGGGACGCAGCTCTGGCTTGGTGACAGCATCCTCCAGCAGGTGCAGCCGGCGCTGGCCTACCACCACGTCCCGCAGGCAGCCCACAAAACCTGTGCCGTAGGCCTTGGGTAGGACCTGGCTCACTGGCAGCTTCGGAAGGCCCCCTACAGGACAATGAGGTCACCCTGTCTGATGCAGTGATGCAAAAGACACCTAGGTGGCTAGCAGGTGTGCCTGCCCATGTGCTCCTGCTTCTTGGCCCATGGCTTGGGCACAGCAGGGGACAAGGTGGGAGGAGGAAGCCTTGCTTGGCCAACTCTTCTGCTGTTCTTATGCGGCTGACTCAAGTCCAGCCCTAGGGGATGGAGTCTGTTCCCCAGATATTCTAAAACCCTTGGGTGCTTCTTGCCCAGCCTCTCCACTCACCAAGCCATAGGGCTCCATCTGTGTCCAGTTGTGTGGCACCCAGAGGGGAGAAGCCGGTCACAGGGGCCTCATTGCCCACTTGAAGAGAACCTTCCCTCTGCTCCCTGAGGGCAGTGATGGGGCAAGACCATTAACTTTTCCTCCCTGTCTCTCTCAGTTTCTGAGCCTCACTTTCCTCCACCTCATGCCTTATAGGTGCCACACCCTGGGAATCACACCAGGAGTCACCCCTGGGGTTCAGGCTGGTGGCAATGAGCTCCCTAGCAACAACTGCTTCTTCTCCATCTTCTTGTCCCTTTTTCCTCCCCTTCCCACAGGCAGACAAGCAGCTGGTGTCCTGGTGCTACTCTCAGCAGACCCCACTGACCTGTGAGCCCTGACCCGCAGCCAATGGTTGGTGTTGACCCTCACAGTGGAGCGCAGCACCACAGGCTGGGAGCCCAGGTCATAGCTTAGCTGCAGGTATCCATCCACAATGGCTAGCGCCACATAGTCTGCACGATCTGTAGCCTTGCCGCTCCATAGCACCAGCCCCTGTGTGGCCTCAGTGCGCAGACTCAGTTCAAAGTGGTTACTCTGCAGTGCCTTCTCACTATAGGGCAAAGGGGTGAGGCAAGGCTGAGGTGGTGGGGGCACAGAACACAACTGGAGAGGTTATGGAAAATGGTGGGGCCTGAGGGCAGGGATGGCCAGGGGCAACACCAGCAAGACAGAAGAGAGACAGACACACTGTGGGACAGGGAGGTGGAGATGATCATAGATGGCAGACAATGGGTAGGCACATGGCGGGTGACATTCAGCCTGGGGTCTCTCAGGCGCTGCCACGTGCTCACCTGTGATGGGCCCCGGAATCCAGAGTTTCGGGGCTTAGAAGGAGGAAGACAGGGAAGCAGTGAGCAGGGGAAAGATAGGCAGAGGTGCAGGTGAAGTCCCCTTGTCGACATGGGTGGTGGGAAGAGCAAGCATGACCCCAGAATATCACTGACCCTCCTCCCAAGGGACCTGGCAGTGACACACATGCAACACGCATGTGCAGACACAGCTGGGGGCATGGCTTGGGCTGAGTGGAGTTCAAGGAGTGAGGCCTGGGTGATGGGCAATGTAGAGGGTTTAGTGGAGCAGCCCTGGCTGTCCTAGCGCACGCACACACAGGTACATCCACACGTGTGTGGCCAAACACACATGCTTGCATATGTGCATATACACACACACCCACACAAACTCACATTCCCCCACAAACTTACGTTACACGTATAGACATGTGCACTCATGTGCATAATAGACACACATGTATACAAACATGCACACAGAAAAGCTTATACACGTATATGTGCACACACACAGGCACAAGCACACACTTGCACTGGAGCCTCAGTGGTGTGGGAATGGCTGCAGGAGTGGATGAAGTGACGGCTTTCAGCTGGAGACTCCCCACTTCTAAGGTAGGAAGCTGGGCCTGATGTAGCACGAACAGGCCCAGGCTCCATCTCCTTCTACCAAAGGTGGAACACTTGGTGGGGCTCAGGACTGTACAATGGGTGGAGGGAGCAAAAGATGTTCATGAGTGAGTGCCAAGGTGGGGTGGGGCTAAGGGGCTACTTACGCTGGGATCTCATTGGTCAGCTCGCTTGGAAACAAAGAGACAGATACAGTGAGAAGGAAGGGGGGGTTAGAGGTGGGGTGGATCTGGGTCTTCCCCCCTAGCCACAGAGCTGGGGAGGGGGAAGGCGAGGGTCCAGAGTCCCCACCCTGTATGGCATGTACAGACAGGATCATACAGACAGTGGAGGGGTTGCCTGGCTCCCAGTGGCATGTTACCTCTCGGTCACTGCATTGAGGTACTCGATATAGGTCCGTCCATCAAAGGCCAGTGTCTCTAGGTCTCCTGCTGACTTCTCTACCAGCCCTAGGAGACAGATGGGGTGAGGCACGCCCAAGGTGGGGTCTCCAGACTATGTCCAGCCTTGGCCCTTGCTGCCAGCTCTCACCCTTCTCACAGTGCAGCCCAGAAAAGCCTGCAGGACACAGGCACTCATAGGTGGCTTCCCTTGGGAGGCATAAGGCCCCATTGAGGCAGGGGTGGCCTGAGGCCTGGGTACAAGGGTGATCTGCAAAGGATGAAACATCCACCATCCGCAGCACATGCTCCTTTATCAAGAGCTGGCGGCCTCTCAGGGAGACCTGCAAGGGAGAGAGGGTAACCACTAAATTTTTGTCCTACCTACAGCCCTCAAAGGGGCCAAGTCCCTTCCACAACTTCTCTTCCTCCACCTCCACCTCCATCTTGGAGAGCCCTGGTGTGGCTCACTGCATCCCTCATACCAGCTGGATAGCACCATTGAAGCCAGAGGACACTGCAGCTGCCCGGGCCAGCTTGCTGAAGTCAGGAGCCCCTCCGACATAGAGCGGCTCCTTCAGGTTAAGCATAGTGTGCGGCACCTGTGGGAGATGAGGGGTGAGCAGACATGTGGGACCCACCCACTGCGTAGGGGCAGGCTAAGTCCCAGGACAGGGAATCACTGCCTGATGCCCCACACCCAACCCCCACTATCTAAGAGGCAGCGTTAATCACACAGAAATGGCAGACATGGGCCTTAGTGGGGAAGGAACTATTCTAGGGGTGGGAGCAGGAGACAGTGAGCTGGGCGAGGCAGACAGTACCTTGCGGGATTTCTGACATCCGGAGAGCGGGTGGGGGGTTGCAGAGCAAGAGCCAGAGAGCAGTGGGGGCAGAGAGGAGACAGACCGAGGCACAGGACAGACGAGAGAAAACAGTTCCGTGAGAAGCTGCCATGGTGGGGGGGCTGTCAAGCCCTTGGGGAGAAGGAGGAGGTAGGCAGCAGGAGCAGGCGGGAAAGGCCTGGGCTTTCCTTATGCCCCAGACACTCACCGGGGACTCCCCCAGCACACGGGGCCCACTGCCAACACGAAGGGCACCCTTGCGGCCGTTTCGCTCCACTGAGACCCTGGTCCAGGTGCTCAGGGCTATGGGTTCCTTGCTCCTGCAAGGAGGCACCATGAGCAGGCTCTGGATGAACTCTGCCTGCCCAGGGCCTCAGTGACACTACCATGTGCCCCAGTCTTGTCCCTACTAAAGGACAATCTCCCAGATCCTCCCTCTGGTCTCTGCAGGGGTCCAGAGCTAACCCTTGGGCATCCCAGGCCACGGCCCAGTCAGCCCCCATGGTCCACCCATACTTGCCCACCTGATGACTGCAGCTCCCTTGCCTAGGTCATAGCGGAACTCCAGGTACCGGTCATGCAGGGCCAGTGACACAAAGTCTCCCTTGCCATCTGTCTTCTGTCCATTGTAGAGGAGCAAGCCACTAGGGCCACGGGCCAAGAATACCACCTCCAGTGCCATCTTCTCCCTAGGGTCACGTGGGGTTGTGGGGCACGTCACTGTCCCCTTCCCAATAGGGTGGTTCCTTTCTCCCACCCCTCCTGACCTACTGACCCCAGGTCTCGCTCGAAAGTGTGCAAGCCTTTCAGCTCCAGATAGGAGAAGCCGTTGAAGTCAGCCAGAAAGGGCCAGGAGCCAGCATCCCTCTCCGAGACTGTGGAGGACCAGACACAGATCACACCGGGCTGCAGGTCTTAGCCCCTGGGGCTCCTGTACCCCAATGACCCTGCATCTAACCTAATTCAAACCCAAATCTTCCCTGAACCCCAACCTTAACTGGACCACAAGTCAACCTGAGCATTTGACCCTGACCCCTCAACCCCCTCCTCAACAGCTCCATGTCCCCACCTGTCTGGCAGAGGGTGCCCCCTCGTCCCAAAGGGCATTCGCACTTGGCCCCACCCCCTGGCAGCACACGGCAAGGGGCTGCCCCGTGGCAGGGGTTTGGCTGGCAGGGGCTCTTCTCATCCGCACAGGTCGGGCCTGAAGGAAGATTGGATGGGGGTTTCAAGAGGCATGAGGCCCCACACACAACACCTTGTTTCCCTCTTAGTGCCTGGCCTGCTCTCACCAAAGCGGCCAGGCGGGCACTGACAGTGGAACATGCCAGCCTCCAGTGCTTGGCACAGCGCCCCTCCATGACAGGGGCTGGGCAGGCAGGGGTGGTCCCCACACTCTCCGACGCCAGAGCTTCGGGCCACAGTCCCCTGCCATCTGCCAAGCTCCAGTTGCTGGTTGTTGATGTCCAGCAGACGGATGCAGCCTTTCAGGCCAATGCCAATGGAGGTCCGCTCAAGCACTCTGCCAACAGGAGGGATTCAGGATCAGGGTCTGAGGCCAGCAGCATTCTATCACAACAAATTGTCACCCTAACATGACCATCCCTCTTTGGGTGCTCACAAGGTGGCCAGTCTTACAAATGGCAGAATTAGGAGGTGGGACTGAGTGTCAAGAGTCAGGACTTAAGGTCAAGGGCCAGTCCAGTCCCTCTCTAGAGATCTCACCAAAAGACTACCCACAGGTAGGACAGAAACAGAAACTAATGGGGGATATGGGGCTGGATTGAGGTCAAGGTCACAGTCACCACCAATATCCATCCCTCCACCCCCATTTGTCACCCACAGTCAGAGGCCGGGGACCCGGGTTAGCCTCAGGCTGGCACCACCCAACTCTTGCTCACACAGCAGCCTGGTCCTCTGGAATGCCACCCACGAAGAGGTCTGTGTCCAGGTTGAGGCCATCAGTGCCACTTGGGCTCTCACCCACAACAGGGGTCTCACCATCCACGGAGAGTGTGCCCTGACGCCAATGCCGTGACAGTTCTAGACGGTGCCACCGGCCAGGTTCCACTGGCACTGAGCTGGCCAGTACCGCTGGCCCTGAACCTGTGTCAAACCTGGCAATGGGAACAGGTGCTTAGGATACTGGTCTGGCCTCCCACCAGCCTTGTCTACCCTACCCCACCATGTCCCACTATGGATGGCACCTTCCCCTGCCCCACCAGCTTTACAATACTTGGGCCTGGCCCTGCCTCTAGACTACCCATCTGTGCTACACGAGGCCTGACCTTGCCCCTGCCTTGGCCCACCTGAGCTGCAGGACCCATGCTCATGTCCTGTTCCCTTGCCCCACCCACCTGAGCTGCACACGCCCACCCAGCAGTGTCAGTGCCAGGAAGTCCTTGCCACGCGCATTGCCGTTATAGAGCAGCAGTCCCTCAGGCTCTAGCGCCCGAAATTCCAGCGCCAGGCGCAGTGTGTGGTAGGCACGGAGGGTAGGGAAGGCCAAAAAGGAGTGTCCCCCAAAGGCTGGCACAGAGGGGTGCAGCACTGCAGGGGATAGGGAGAGTCAGCTGGAGGAGCACCCAGGATCCCACCCCACCCTCTGTCCCCTCCTCATATTGTGGACTGGCCCCACCCTGCCACAGGTCTAAAGCCCTACTGCCTCCCTGCACCCTTCAGCTACCCTCTGACCCTTACCTGCCTCACAGACAGTGCCTCCCCTGCCTGCAGGGCAGCTGCAGGTGAAGCCCCTGCCAGAGTCCTGGTCCTGGCAGGTCCCCCCATGGAGGCAGGGCTGGGAAGCACAGGACTTTGGCAGCTGCTGTGGGCCTGGGGGCTGAGGCCGGTCCCGGCTAGGGGCTGTGGTGGGTGGCCGGCGGGTGGTTGGGGGTGCTGTGGTCTTGCCAAAAGGCCGGCTGGTGTGATTGGGGTAGATCCGAGGAGTTACAGCAGAGGAAGGCAGTCGCCCCATAGTGGTGGCTCTGGCAGTGGCTACAGCAGCCGTGGCTCCTGTTGCAGCTCCCGTGAAGAATGCTGGAAACCAGTCTGTGGGGTAAGGAAGCTGTCAAATCCCCAAGTTGCAGAACATAGTAAGGACTGGTAGAGAGAGAGAGAGAGAGAGAGAGAGAGAGAGAGAGAGAGAGAGAGAGTATGTGTGTGTATGAGAGACAGAGAGTGTGTGTGAATGTGCATGTAGGTCGGAGAAGAGAGAGGATAGGTAAATTATAGCCCAGACTAGCGCTTACCAAAATCCATGAATCGCACATGCTCCTGGAGAGGCCTCCTCACCACCAGGGTCCTGCGTCTGGATGCCTGGATCTGCCGGAGCAGGGCTCGGCCCACATCAGGTGCCCGAAAGGCTGTGGCTGTGTGGAAGGGGGCACTGAACATGGCCTGGTTCCATGTAGTCCCCACCTCCTGGGAAGGACCTGGAACGGGTTACTCACCGGGGTCAAAGTGTACATCCACAATGGCACGTACAGATCTGCCAGGCCCCAGGTCTCTCAGGCGGACACTCCGGAAGTCCTTCTTTACATCTGAGTTCCGGAACAGGTCGTCCAGCTGCAGGCAGGGTGTGTATGAGGATGCTAGGCATTGGCTAAACCCAGATGGAATTGGTTCCCTTGGGCCACTCCAGGTTTGTCTTGGGCGAATCCTCCCCACAGCCCCCACCATCCCGTACCGCACTCTCAATGCTCCTGGCGGTCTCCCCAAACAGCTCTGACTTGGGGTCAGCCATCTCAGGTGTGTAGAACAGCTCCTGCCCCTCAACCCCCTCGAGCTCCAACACACCCTGGAACGCCTTGGTAGCTGTGGGGGAGGGGCAGTGAGGCCCTGCCAGCAATGCCCAGCCTCCCTGGCGGCCACAGGCTTGGACCCAGCAGCAAGCCACGCGGGGGACAGCAGGGGGAGGTTAGTCAGATGGACATGGGGTTAGTGGGGACCCCAGGGCAGGGCTGGCGTCAGTTACCAGGTGACTCCTAGGAGCAGTTGCCCCAGGCCGGCTTGCAAGGAGAGAGATGGTTTAGGCACAGAGTCCTGGGCACACACGTGTGTTCAGGGGCTGAGACCACTCTGTGTGTGTGTGTGTGTGTGTGTGTGTGTGCGTGCTGAATCCTCAAGACCCCACACACACATGTGCCAAAGCCAGAAGACCATAACCCGGTACCGACCTGCTGTCAGGGTTGGGGACAGCACCCTGGGGTGTCCAGGCTGTTCCTCAAGCTCCACCCTGCCCTCATTGCCCACTCACCAGGACAGTTGGAGCCCTCTGTGTCCAAGGAGGGCGTCTTGCCATCGGAGCAGCAGCCCAAAGGCGAGTTGTAGCAGGAAGCCCTCTCAATGGGCGGCCCATGGGTCACCATATTATTGCCCTCAGAGGGCTCGAGGCCTGGGGAGGTGCAGTCTGAGCCCAGACACAGGTGGAAGCCCTGCTGGGCCCTGCCCCCATGTCCCTGAGCCCCTGCTGACTCCTAGACCTGCCCCCATGCTTAAGCCCCTGCTTATCCCCAGACCCACCTCCACTTCAGAGACCCTGCTCACCCCCAGACCCACCCCCATATCTGAGCCCCAGCTCACCCCCAGAGCCTCCCCCACTGGCTTCCTGGTCCCCACTCAGCTCCTCATCGCCGCTCCCATCAGCACTGCCAGATTCACCAAAGGCAGACATGGCAAGGCTAGATGTAGTGAAGGGTGCTGTGGGGGGCAGGGTCAGCATGTGTTGTATAGTGATCCTGGGGATGGTGGCTGTGGTCCAAGGTCGTGACGTGGGAGGAGGAGTGGACCAGCCATGGGGAGTGCTGCTGGGAGCCAGGGGCAGGGCACTGGCGGGGAGCAGCAGTGCATTGCTCAGAACGTGCCCTGGGGTGGTCCCAGTTGGAGATGTTGGGTGAAAACCAGGAGCAACAGCCTCTGCAAGGAGAGGGAAGTTGAAGGGTCAGAGTTGGGAAGGGGCCAGCCCTACCTGGTCAGTTCTGGGTGGTGGCTCCTGAGTCTCACCCTGGCATGGGCCAAGGCTCTGGGTGGATATGTCCAGGCCCTGGCGGCAGGCGATGGTCTTCAGCTGGCACTCATTGCCATATGTGACACCATCTGACCCACAGACCTAGGGCACAAGACAACAATGCTCAGGCAAGGCTTCCCCTACCCCACTGCCCTCCACATTCTCCACCCCTCACCTTGGTGGCATTGGCCTCCGGGCATGTGAGGGTTGGGCAGACACAGTGGGCAGAACCAGCCTCCTCCACACAGGAAGCACCAAACTCACAGTGCATCTCCACACAGGTCTCACGTGCCAAGGAATCTGGGGTAAACATGGGAGACCCTCCCTCAGCTCAGATGGCCCTATCAGTATAGGAAACCCCAGGTCAGCACAGGCCCTGCCCTCACCTGCTTCACAGCCAGCAGGGCCCAGGGCTTGACCATCTGGACACTGCCCACATTTGGGACCAGCCACGCCAGGCCTACAGGAACACAGTCCAGTCATCTGCTCACAGTCATCCCGCACAGCACCCCGGGGATCACAGCTGCAGGCTGGGGGAAAAGAGGAGCCTGGAGTCTGTACCTGGACAGGCTTCTCCACCTGCCCCGGAGCCCTACCAGGGCCTGACCTGAGCACAGCAATGGAGGTGAACAGACAGGAGTACTTGGGGCTCTGTCACTCACGAGTGCAGCCACTTCGGCCATCAGTGACAATGCCACGGAAATTCCAAAAGCCAGGTTCACAGCGGTCGCACTTGAGGCCACCCACGCCTGGTCGGCAGGAGCACTGGCCTGTGGCTGGGTCACAGGTGCCACTGTAGGAGCCATGTGGGTTACACTGGCAGGTGCCTATGAAGGGAGGGAGCACTGGTCACTGCAGCTACACAGCTCCACCATGCCGATCAGGGCTAGGTTCGAGTACTCACTGGGACAGCCAGCCAGGCCCACACCCCGGGCAGCAGTGACATTGTCCTGACAGCAGCCGTAGGGAGTCTGGGCACAGTGTGGGAGGACCTCAGGCAACAGTGGGGCCAAGGTGGGGCCTGAACATAAGGGAACAAGGTTCAGACTTGATACAATGATAGTTGTCCACCCTGGGCCCAGCCACTCTGTATCATCTTCCCCTGCTATCACTATTCAGTTTTTTTTTTTTTTTTGGTGGTACTGGGGTTTGAAGTCAGGGCCTCAGGCTTGGTAGGCTTGGTAGGCAGGCCCTCTACCACTTCAGCTACTCTGCCAGCTCATGACTCATTCAGTCCTCTTGACACTAACACCCACTGGGGTCTGAGAATCTGGGGTTGAGGTGATAGGCAAGGCCAACAGATCATGCACAAAAACATGTCTGTTAATTAAGAACCAGGACCCATAAGACACGTGGGACCACATCTACACAGAATACCCAAAGATCATAGACACAAAGCCCCATGAACCAGAGCTAAACACACAGAGGTGTGTCTTTTACAAATGGCCAACATAAGCATGAAGACACATGTATACGTATTCACTCACATTCCTCCAAAGCAGTATACATTTACACACACGTGCAGATACCCCTGTGGACATGCATGAGCACATACATAAGCACTTCTGTGTACATAAACTTATGATAAATGTGACCTATTTACTGGATTTGTGTCAGTCTCTGACCCACAAGAGCAAAAGTGCCCTTTGTGTTCCTGCTGCCTCTGGCCTGGCTCACAGCAGGTGTGTAGTGCACACTTGCTAACTGTACACACCCACATGCTACAAGTATGCAAGCACGGACATGCACTAACACTGAACATTTGAAATGTAACACATGTGCACCCTCTTCCTCCCCCTGAGCCTAACATCTGTGAGCGCATGCATTCTTAACATTCACATAGAGGACACAGACACTGCTACACAAACGCTCAGGAACTTGTCCCCACATGCCAGGTATGTCCACTCACCACGACAGGCTCCCTGAGCCACAATGTGTAGTTCTCGCTGTGACTCGCACCTGGCCTTCTTCAGGTCACATTCAGTGCCGTAGGTGACCCCATCTGAGCCACATACCTGGAGGAGTGGTGTCAGTGTGGGCAGCCTTGGCCCCTTCCTCGCTGCCCACCCGGAGCCAAGGGAGGGTAGGGAAGCTCACCGGGCTCCTCAGGACATTCTGGCAGCTGAAGTCGCAGACACATGGCCCATCTTCAGAGTCCTCATCCCAGATGCCACCATGCTGCCGGCATAGTTCCTGCTCACACTCGCTGTCCTCCCCAGAACCAGAGCCTCCCGAGCCACACTCAGCTGAGGGGAAGGAGGATGGAGTCACCCAGAGGTCCTTATCCAAGGACCAGCAGCTCACAGTAGCTGCCCCTGAGCTTACCCTGATCACATGGCCCTGACCGGGCCTCCTCAATTTGCTTCTGCTGCCGGCAGGCAGCTTCCCGTAGCTCACACGCACTGCGGTAGGTGATACCATCACTGCCACACACAGGACCAGGTGGTGGGTGCTCACACCGAGGACACACACACTGCCCAGCAGAGCACACAGCCCCAAAGGCACACACTGTATCTCCACAGGTCTCTGTAGGACAGGAAGTGAGGCAGGAGTCAGCAGACCCTGGCTGGGGAAGTCATGGGACCATACCCCACCTGGTTCCCATGGCCCCACTCACTGCAGTGCCCAGCTGAGGCCACGTGCAGGCTTATCTGGTGTGTGCAGGCGTGGACATGCAGTTCGCACTCGCTGGCATATGTGTGCCCATCAGAACCACACACAGGCTGTGTTGAGGCCACGCATTCAGAGGGGCAAACACAGCGCCCAGTGTCTGCCTCGCACAGGGCTCCAAAGCGGCACTGCCCGCATCGGTCTGGGGAGAGGGCTCCATCACCATGCTGACCAGAAGCTCCCCACCCCCAGACCCACTCATCCACCACTGACCACAGGGTCCTCTGCGGGCCACTTGGATCTCCCGGCCGAGGGCACAGGCCATGGCCTCCAGCTCACATATGCTGCCATACGTGACACCATCGCTGCTACACACGGGATCATAGACACCCGAGCACACCTGCTGGCATTCGCATGCAGCCTTGCCATTCTTCACAGCACACGTTGCCCCGAGTGTACACTGCACCCCACGGCACGGGGATGGGGCCTGGTCTGGGGAAGATGTGGTCCTCAGCGCAGATGCTCCCCCAGCTGTGGACAAAGCCCCAGCCCCACGCAGCAGCCCCTCTCTGGGGTGGGGATGGTGGAGAAAGAGCCAGATGCACAGGACACAGCAGAGAAAGGGACAGACACACAACAGAGGCAGATGGGGACACAGGAGTCTCCTGACTGCCCACAGTAGGCCACTGACCCCTGATGACCAGCAGCCCTGGGACACCCATGCACATGAGGGGCTCTCTCTCCACGGATAGGAGGAGTTTGAACCCCAGAGTCACACCCAAGACTGCACTGGGGAGGGGGTGTCTGTCCACTTGCTCTGAGGACCACAAGGCCAGGCAGCAGCAAGCCACCCCCCCCCCAGCCACGCCAGGGGCAGACCTCGGGCTGTGGGCTCCTGGTGGGCAGGCGCGGCACCTCATCCTGCCAGCAGGTCAGGCTGGAAGACACAAGAGGCGGAGCAGAGAGGGAAGGAAGGACAGAGAAGAGACAGAGGCAGAAAGAAGACCAGAAAGATGGACAGAGGACCCACCAAAACAGATACAGAGGCAGGCAGGGCCACAGCAGCCACAGCCTCGATGGGACCCACTGGCCACTGCCCAGCTTCCTCCACCCTCCACTGGCCCCTCAAATCTCAATTGCAACTCCACTTTTAGTGGGTTAGGGGCTGCATGTGTCCCAAGAGTGAGGGACCCTGAAAGTCACATATACAGCTCCCCACCCAGGCAGTCTGTGACCTGTGTGGCATAGAAACAGTGGACAGATAGACCAGAGAACTTGCAGGGGGCAGCATGGCCAAGTGCAGGCCTGCCTCTGCCCCATGCCACTGCCAGCCTCTACCCTCCCCTGGGACTTCCCCCCACCCCTAGCCCAGGACCCCAGGAGGTGAATGACAAGGGATGAAGATGGCATGTGATAGCGGGCAAGGACCAATGCAGGACCAGCCACTCCCGGCCTGGACCCCAAGGCTGCTCACCACACAGGCCCTGGTGCTTGGGGGGGATGGCACGCTGCTGCTGACACTCAGCCTGCTGGCGCCAACAGTCGTTGTCATACGTGTGCCCATCCTGGGCACACACAGGCCTATAGGCCCCATCACAAGTGACACGGTCACAGGAACAATGGGGACGGCCACGGCGGGACAGGCATACAGCATTGAACTGGCAGGCCTCCATGCACTGGTCTGGAGTGGACAAGGAGGTCAGAGAGGTTGGATCACCACACTAGCCACCCACCACATGCAAGGGATCCACAGGCACAAGAGGTGGTGAGTAGGGGAACATGGTATACAGGGAGGGTGGGCACCATGAGGCCTCAAGGGTCACACAGTGGCAGGGCTGTTACCTCGAGGCTGGCACTGGCCAGAGTGCACTTTCTGCAGGAGCAGGCCACGGGCAGCCCCTGTACGGCCCATGATGCAGTCATTTTCATAGGTGACCCCATCATCTCCACATACAGGTGCCTGCCGGGGAGGGCAGTTCTCTGGCCTCAGGAGCATATCTGGGCGGCGTGTGCGGGGGTTCACCCGGCAGATGCGGCTCAGGTCAGAGAGGGCGCCCTGGCAGGGGTCTGTATAGGAGGGCAAGAGTCAGGGGCTGTAGCTGCATGCACAGGAGTCACATGCAGAGGAGACTGTGGAGGGTGGTGCTCACCACAGGGTCCATCAAACTTCCTGAAGATGTGTTCCTGGCGGGCACAGGCATGGCGTAGCAGCTGGCACTCGCTGGGGTAATCAATGCCATCACTGCCACACACGGTGCCCTCCGGAGCCTCATGGCAGGTTGCAGGACACAGGCATGAGGCAGTCTGCCCGTCAGCGGAGCGCACACATGTGCTGCCGAAGCTGCAGGTCACGTTGGCACAGGGATCCCGGGACCCTGTGGGTGGGCAGGTTAGAGGTCATGCTGGTCATCAGTGCTGCCCCTACACCACCCCTTGCTCACTCACCGCACGGCCCCCGGCGGAGGAGGCGAATGCGTCGCTGCTGACTGCACTGAGCGCGCTGCAGTTCGCACTCATTGCTATAAGTAGATGCATCTGAGCCACACACAGGGGCCACCACAGCTGGGCAGATGCTCTTCTTGCACACACAAGAGGCCCGGCCTGGATCCTCCGCACTGGGCTCGCACACAGCGCCAAAGCCACACAGCATTCCCCTGCACGCTGAGGTTGGACAGAAGAAATGGTTGGAGCACTCGTTCCCATGTCCTCACACCTACAAACCCTTGCAACATGAACAGTCCATTCACTAAGCCCCAAGGGCACATCCACATATGCACGTCCACACATGTTCAAGCTCACACACAGTCCCATGCTGGTGACCACGATCACAGGGCCTGGCTCCCTCTCAACCCCACCAGGTTCAGGACTTTTCCTCTCATGGGAGGACATTTTTTCTTCACCCATCCCATATCCTATAACTGTGGAGAGGGGAGAGAGTCCCTAAGACAGGACAAAACAAGGCATCCATTCCCAGCCCACCTTAGTGGCCCCTAACACACAGTAGGGGAGGATGCCAGGCATAGGTGCCGCAGTTCTACCCACATCAGCCTCAGAGCCCCTCATCTGTCACCCCAACAAAGCCCAGACTCACCCTACTCTAGGCATGAGCTTCTAGGGCTCCTTCCTCAGAGCTGCCTCTGTGTCTGCCTGACCGCTGCTACCTTCCACTGAGGACTACCTCTTTACCCTCTTAAGCCAGGTCACACCTCCACTTTGTAGCTCCAGATCCCTCCTCCATCTTCCTCCAGGTTTGCTGGAAGCCAGAGCCCTGCCCCTTCCTCTTTTCTTCATCTGTCTTCTCCTCTGGCCTTCGTTCTAGAGGGGAGGGGGAAGGGAGAGGCAGCTCCCTTCCCTCCAGGAGCACATTTCCCAGCCCTGCCCCTTGGTATACAAACTCTATTCTCTGTTTACCCCCCTCACCTTCCATGGCTCCCAGAGCCAGTCTCCCCAGGACCATGCCCCTTCCAATGTATCAGCCTTTCTAAACTCAAGCTGACTGTGGCATCTCTCCCTAGGGCCACATGGGCTGCTCCCTCTGTCCTCCTGAGCCCACACCTTAGGAAATGTCCTTACCCAAGACACACACACACACACACACACACACACACACACACACAGCCGTGCAGCTCCCTCCCACATGTGCCTCATACTGGCCAATGCAAGAGCTAGGCCTGTGGTTTCATTCTTTAACATTTCGATTCTCAGCACTGCAGAGGCAATGTCCAGCACACAGGGGCCGGCTGTTGTCCACAGAGTGTACAAATGAAGAAGATACATGGATATTTAAACCCAGAGTCATTAGGGTCAGCTGCTGGGGCAGCCCTCCTGAGCACAGCCTGGCCCCATGGAGAGGGTGCATCATGGGTAAAACAGGTTCCTTAGGGACTGTAGCTGTCTGGATCTAATAAATATTTAATTGGGTTCAATTATCATTAATAAGTCATGGGGGGGTGAGGCCCCCATCACCTCCCAGCATGCTCAGAAATGAAGCAGAAGAGGCCCTCTCCCCATCTCCTGAGGGCCAGGATGCACTGAGGGCTGGAGCCACTGTTACCACAGCAACGGACTACCCCAGCCTCCCTGGTGTCTATCTGGATGTCCCTGCCCCCTCCTCCCCCAGAAGGCTGAGGGTACAGGGGCCTCAGCCTGCTGTCCCTGTAACTCACCCATGCTCTTGTCTTTCCCCATTACCATGCCTCCTCAGATCCTGGAGCCAGGATCTCCCACTGTGTCTCAGTGGACCCTCCTGTGAATGGGGACAAAAGGATCTATCTACTTCCCAGGATTCTATAATAGGCCAATGTCCTACAAGCTTAGAGGCACCCCTCACAAGTGCTACGTAGAGTGTGTACTGCTATAATATATACAATAATAAGGTTGTCATCACCAGGCACCTCTCCTCTATCTGGCTCAAACCAAACTCAAGCCACATCTACCCATAGCTGCTCTCATGCCTGACCATCACCTCTCTTTGGTCTCCCCTTCTCTTTTCCTATGGCACCTCCCTCACATTTGGCCCTCTCTTGTCCAAGGTACCTGGGCTTCCAGGCCATATCAAACAGGCATTTGCTGATGTGTGGCTGCTTATGTTCTTGGGTTTCAGCTGGACCTTTTGAAAAAGGTCTCCCCCAGGGTCAAGGACCCAGTCACCTACCTGCACCCAGCACCAGGGTTCTTGGGTTGGCTGCTGCATGCCTACACTTCTTGGGCTCAGCCTCTCTCTCTCCTTCCCTAGCCAGACCCCACAGCCAAGCTCAAAGTCCTGTGACAAATCCAAGGTTTAGAACCCACCATGCTGGTTCCAATTTCTGTTCCTAGTCTAGGACAAAGCAACTTCTCAAGAGTCAGCATGGGAATCACCATCTCCAGGAAGCCCTGCCCCTTCCTCCCAGTCATGCCATTAAGCTGGGTAAGGGGTTGCTCCCATACATCCCATGGATACCTACTTCAAGATGGCCTAAACAGGCACCTCTCTTCCTCATAAGACTAGGAGACCACAGAGGCTCAATACAAATTTGATTGAACATAAGAATAGGCATAATCCAAGACCACCTGCAGACAGGTGCACACGGTAACTTTACACACATGCATACTTATACACAGGCACAAGCAGAGTTATTCTAACAACTGTACTCTAGTATCAGGCATCACCAGAGCATCATCACTCACAATGCCCCTTCTCCAACCCAATCCACAGTGAGATATTCTGACAAAGTCACACTGCTAACACATGGCATAGCTGGGCTTAAAACCTGTCTGTGCTCCTAGTCACCGCCCATAATGCTTCTAATAAATGTAGATGATATACACGGGCATCCATGAGCCATAGGTCTTCAAAGCATCACTCCGATGACCATGCCTGCCCTGCTCTGCCCTGGAATAGCCTTTCCCTGGCTGCTGAGCTTCCCGCCTGGGCAATTTCTCCATGTACTGCTAGAGGCGGCAGGGGCTTTTTATAGCCACAGTGGTGGTGGTGGATATATTTAACTTCCCTCCCATCTCTAGTAGGTTGGGGGATGAAGGATGAAGCAGATGCCCCAAATCCTGCTTGTGGCCACATACGTGTGCTGCGAATACTTGTGTGTGCAATGGCCATGGCGTGTGTTCCATGAACGTGCAACAGACAGCTGGGGTATGGATGAGAGCGCCACATGTGCAGCTGTGGGAGGCTAGTATAGGCAAAGGGAATGTTCTGCAGGCTCTTAGACTCCAGAAGAGGGGAATGAGGGTGCAGAGGAGGAGGGTGTCCTCCACCAGAGTATCCACACCTCAAGTCCAGACAGCTCCATGGGCTATGAAACTCATGTCCAGCTCCAGCCCCCATACCAGCCTCCTTCTGATGACCCACCCCATTGAGAGGGCTTGAGCCACTTCTTGCAAGACTTGAGGACTTGTCTCGGCCATATCCTCCTGCCCCCATTCCAGGAGGAAGACGATGATCTGAGACAAGCAGGTTGTTCACACACCCACGTACTGCACCGGTCACCAGTCCCTGTGAGTTTCTGTAGATACCACAGGTCAAACACCACACAGTGGTGTTACACTATCATGACTCAAAGGGCTTCCATGTCTCAGGAGCAAGACACTTCCCAGACAGAAGTCCTTCAGAGGTCACATGCTCCGCTCTCCATAGCCCAGACCAGGTTTGGTGCTCCAATGAACCTTCAGAGTCTTGTGGGAGCAGTCTGAGGAGGAGCATCACTATTAGGGATCCTCACAGCCATCCATTCCCATTGCCCTATCCCCATACTGCCTATCCCAGGGTCTCTGGGACCAGGAGCTAAGTAGCCAAGTATGCCAGAGACCATACTGCCAACTTGTTAGCACAGCAGCCCCAATGAATAAGGATTGGAGGGCTATAGATGACCCCTGCTCAGATGGCCACTGAAGGGTAGGAGAAGCCTCCGCCATTTTGCACCCTCAAATCCAGCTCTTGTATCTGGGTGCCTAAGATCCCCACTTTTGAGGAATCCCCCACCTGGTTTTTCAGACTGCTGAGGTTCCCAAACTGTCCCTCACCTGCCAGCACAAGGCAGTGGACAGAGAGAAGAAAGCTCTACCAATGTAAGCCACCTCTCCAGCCAGTGTTCCCAACTTTCAAGTCCCACACCAATTATGTAACCCAAGGTTGCTTCCTGGGAGGATCCAGGGGAGTGAGACCCACAGCCCTCCACCCTAGGATGTCCTCTCTATCCATGTCTAGTCAGGACAGACATGTGGCCCTGTCCCTCTTCGTACAACTCTATAGACATGTGACTTCTGTGAACCTGGATAGGTGCCCTTCCAGCAGAGAATCCTGTGACGTACTGAGAGTAAAGCTGGGAGCTGTGGCCCAGCTACTGGATGAACCTAGGCTGAGTGAGGAGAGACACAGGCCACCCCTTGTCCTTGCTTTCCTACAACACTAACACTTCCTCTTCCCCTCTGACATTAGCTTAATTACAGAGGCCCACACACCAGCAGCCCTGCTGGGAGGTCTGGCCTCATCCCACAAAGTGGTCAAAAAGGTCAGCTGCCTCCTCCATCACTTGCACCCTCCCCACTTCAGCCTGCTCAATCCCAGGAACAGACCCAGGCCCTCTAGGCCCCTCCTCAGACAGCTGTCGCTGACCATACTGAGGCCCTCCCCCACTCCAACTCAGTCTCCCCTCTGTGCTTCTGCATCCAGCTCTTGTCCCGCCCCACCCTTTCCTGAATAGGGAAGAAGGAGGACAAAGAGGAGGCAGCCCCTACAACCAGTCTCTGACTCTAGTGCCCCACCCCACCACAATGCATAGGTTCCAGGACTGGTTCTCAAATTTGAGGCTGAGGCCCAGAGAAGTCTGGGGGCACTGGTCAGCAGCCAAGACCCCAGAAAGGACCCAGGCTCCCTTGTCCAGCCTCCTCCCCTCTCCATACACACCTGGTATACACACTCCAGAATGGCCCCAGCTATGAGTGCCTCCACGAGTCCATGTGGCACCCCACCCTTGGCTTGTCATCACCATGGCCCCTACTCACCATCTGGAGGCATCGGAGGCACTGGTGTGAAGTGGGTCCCTGGTTTGTCTGGAAAAAAACCCCACAGATCTCCAAGTTAGGCCCCTCTAAGCAGAGCCTTCCACATCCCATCCCTCTGTCCATCATACCCATTTCCCACCCATTACAGAGATCCAGGCTGGTGAGACTAGGAACCTGAGGCACCCAGTCCTGACCCCCATGGACTGGCTGAGGCTTTAGGTAGAACAAAAACAGAGCCCTTACCTTTTCTCTGCCCCTCCAGCTACAAAGTCACCTGTCAAGTAGGACCCTAGTGGCAGGAATCAAACTACCTGCTTCCCCAGATGAGTTCAGGGCCTGCCTCTGCTCTCAACCCCCAACTGCCAGTGCAGGCACCCCCTTCCCAGCTCCCACACAAAGTTGTTTCTGCACTCAGGATGAGGACCAGCCCCACCAGGAGTACAAGGACAGGTCTCAAAGAGCCATGGTATCCAGAGGACCACCCATGCCCAGAAGATAAAGGTGGTCCATTTGAGCAATGTCATGGCCCCTGGGCTTGCTGTGACCCCACCTGCCCTGCAACCCTTGGCAGTGAGATGGGGGGCTTGGCCAGCAAAAGCAGAGCCACTTGAGCCCCACCCTGAGACCACCTACAGTTGTTGAGGAAGAGCAGCACCGCGAAGCCCAGCGTGGAGGTTGCCAGCAGAATCAGGCAGATGTTGCAGGGGATCATGAAGTACCGAATCAGCAGAGAGGCCCCAGGCTGCTGCCCAGGGCTGCGCTCCAGCCGAGGCATGGCCTGGGCTCCAGCCCCCACGCTCAGGGTGTTGGGGGTCCTTATGGAGTGCCCTTAGGTCTCTTCAGGGCTACTCCCCCCATGCTGGGTCCCCTGAGGCAGTAGACAGCAGCTGTGCTCTCAAAGTTCAGCCAGTCACCGCCTGGGGGGTGCCAGGCCCTCCCCAGTCCTCCAGGCTCATAATAGGAGGTTTGCAGAATTCTCCCGGAGTAGAAATCCCAAATGTGGGCTCAGAGGTAGGCAGAGGAGGACCGAGAATCAGGGCCACCCCTGCCAGCTGCAACCCTTCTGCCGCCAGCCGGCGCTGTCCTCTGGAACCGAGCCCCTGCTGCTGGAGGGCTGAGGGGACCGGGCCGGGCGCGGCACGGCCTGGCTGCTCACGCGCCTGGCAGAGGCGGGAGCAGGCGGGAGCGCGATGGCAGCAGCGGAGGAGCAACCACGTAGGAGAGAATAAAGAGATGGCCACGGAGGCGCCTCCAGCAGCAGTGCAGCACAGCTCCCCTCACCCTCGCCAGGCTGGGATGGTGAGTGAGGGCAGAGGCACTGTGAAGGGAGGGCTGGGAGCAGGGAGCAGAGACAAAGGAAGATGCCTCGGGGGGACCCTTGTGTCCACTGGGAGTCGCAGCTCGGAGCAAAGAGAATGGGGCGGATGAGGGTGAAGACCGGAGACTACAAAAGGGAAGAAGCAGCGCTGGGGAAGGGTAGAGGCTGGGAGAAGCTGGTGCTACGAAGTAGTGAGCAGGAGGAGGAGCAGGAGGGGATCAGGAGGGACAGGCAGTAAGGGCAGGGTAGAGGGGAGGGGGTAATGGTGCTGGAAGGGGGGCAGAGGCCAAGGGAGGGGCAGGGGTAGGAGTGGGCCAGAAGAGGCAGGTGCTGGGCCCCAGATTGGGGCAGTAGAGGAGGAGGAATGGAATAGGGGATCAGGCTAGGTGGGAGGGGCAGGAGCTGTGGTGTGGGCAAAGGTTGGGAGGGTCTTCCTCTCTCCTTCTACCTCTTTGTAATCTGGGCTGATGCCCAGAATGGCTGTGAGGTTTATCAGTCACCACAGGGGGATTGGGCCTGTACAAAGGACCCAATACTAGGGTTTGGTCTGCGTGTGCTTGTGCATGTAATTGTGCATATCTCTGTGAGTGTTTCTGCTCCTGCTGGCTCCACCCTAGTGTGGACAGGGTCCTCAGGTGGGAAGCAAGGTCCTCAGGTAGGGTGTAAGCTGGAGAATGGGGGTGAGGTGATGGGTTTAGAAATTGCTTCTCCCACACCTCCCCTAGTAATTGACAGCAATACACCAATCCACCTGCGCACCCAACTCCAGTGCAAAGAGAAAACATGCAAATGTTTCCATGCAATTAGCCATGGAAATTCTCAGTGGTCCCTAGTCTGAAGCGCCTCCCAGAGGTTGCCTTGGGAACTCCGGGCCAGCATATCATGGTGGGGGGGGTGGCAAAACAGAGGGGGTTAGGGATGAGACCCACTTGGGATCCCCGCCCTACGTAATCAGGCATCTTCACATCTACCCTGTAAGGTCACCCCTTTCCCTGGTCTCTAGCAGGAGACCACCGGGTCTCCACCTCCCTGCAAGCTTGGGGGTGCTCAGGATCAGTGGGGTCCCACAAAGGACCCTGTACCATCCCCTGTCACATCCATGCTCTGGCTGCCAAGATCCTATCATCCCTCCACTGACCCTGCTCATACCTTAACATATTCCCCTTCTGGGTGGGAAGAGCAAGTCCTCCCTACACAGGGGTCCCCTTCTCCTTTTGGCCATACTGTACTGTCAGGACCTAGGATCCCTCCCAATGGCACTTCTGAGTGTCCACCCAGCTGAAATCACAGTAGAAGCGCCCTTCCCCTACCCCCACCCCATGCCACATACTGGGTTACACCAACAGGTACACACAGTTACACTCACACATCCTAACATCAAACCTCTACATCACTGTCAGCAGGTCCCCCTTTTAGTCAAACTGCTGTTGCCTGGGCCACCAGTGCCACCCAGTGGTCACTCTCAGGCCTCAAGTCAGTCCATCTTGGGAAAGCAGCAGTGACCACACCCACCTCCCTGGAGTCCCTGACCTAGGTTAGTGGAGTTTCTCTGCCTGGCCTCTGAATGAGTCCTTCCTGGGGCGCCAGAACCCTGCATTCACTGCACACTGGCCAGAAATGGCTCCACACTCACATGGCCTCCAGATGGACCCATCCCCCATCCTGCCTATTCTCTCCTCCTCAGGCAAGTTCCTCCAAAAGTCCTCCATCCTTGCCTCAGTCAGGGGCAGCCACCTGGCATTCAGTTCCCATGCAGCCCCTTCTCCTTCTCATCCCACAGCCAGGCACAAAGCGCCACATCCCACACAGAAGTCACCCTTGCCCCAACATGGGTCCCCCATCATCCATGTGTAGAGGTCTTTCCATCTCTGGCCCCAAACCCACTGTTCTAATGAAACCTTGCAGGATAATCCAAAATAAAGTGGGGTCTCCCACCCTATGCCTCCAGAGTCCAGGGCAACAATCCATCAAACCACTTGGAAACTCCACCCCCTGGTTGGCCTCACATTCTCTTCAGGGAGCCCCCACCCTGACCACCCCCCAATGGACCTTGGCACTACCCATGGCACCAAAGCAGGGTCTGAGTTTTACCTTTCAGGACAGGGCTTGGCTCAGAGCCAAGAAAGCCTACAGAGGATTTAGAATGGGGAGCCCAACACAGCTCATACACATTTTCCCATCTACCTTACTGCCCAACTTGGAAGGCCACATGATGCTGTCCCCTGCTGCTGCCCTGGTATCTCCAGGTTGCTCTGCAGAAAGTACAGGACCCAAGGTGTTGGAGGGGTGGGAGCTGGGAGCAAAACTGGTAGGGGGGACCCCAGGTGCCCCTGGGAAGTTTGTTTCCCCCAGAGACCCTGGGATCTTCCACTAAAGGGGTCCAACAGGCTGATCTTTCAGTGCTTATGTGGGGGGGCCCAGGCCAACACTGGGAGGGGGCCTTGGGGCCCAGTGGGCCCCGACAGGGGGAAGGGGAACCAGGCAGGCAGTCTGGCCCTGCCAAGCCCCAGAGAGTGTCTGAGCCCCCTGTAGGGGCGGGATGCCTTCCAGAGACAAAGAGCCATTGAGGCTCCAGGCCCCGTGGGGGGAGGGAACTCTGGCTACTGGAGCTATTTTGGGATCTTCAGACAAAATCATTCAGCCTTGACCAACCCACGCAGGCTCATGCCCTGGAATGAACAGGATGCTCAGCCAGGAATTAGTCCCCTGGTCTCTGGCTCATACCCCAACATGTGACCACACACACCTGCCCACACAGTAGGTATGCCTGCTCTCCAGTATACAGGCACTGAGTATCACAGTTCCCTACCTACCTGCATACTCAGTAGACCCCCACCATGCTCATACATATGGGGCAAAACAAACTTGCCCCTTACCTCCCAGGCACTCTGTTTGTGACCCCATCAGCTGCACACATAGGCTCTGACTGGGAACCCTGAGGAAGTGGGGGATGGGGCCTGGAGAGGATGGAGAGTCTGGGCCACTGGCAGCCCACTGACCCATTCCTTTTTTTTTTTTTGCAGCATTGGGGTTTTGAATTTAGGGCCTTGTGCCTGCTAGGCAGGACTCTACTATTTGAGCCACACCTCCAGATCCATGGCCCATTCTTGAATGGGCTGGGGCTCACTTCCTTGGAAAGGACTCTGTGGCGGGGGAGGGCCTGGAACACACTGAGTGAACCGCTTTTCTCAGCCATCAGTACACCCATGCGTACACACCTTCCAATGTAGGGGCCTCACTTGGCGGCCACCTTCACATATGCCATGTGACCTCTGGTCTGAGGGCGAGGCCTGTCTGTCTCCTTGCCTGCGGAGATTTCTAAAGGTGCACTGCTCAGAAGGGAAATGAACCTGCCTCAGCATGGACATTCAAGTACTGACTGTCCTAGCCAGCTGCACAGGTGTGTGGCTGCCCCAGCATGTGGGGGGGGGGTGCAGAACAATTACACCCACACACACAACCGATGGCCTCCTGGTATCTGGTCTCAGACTGTGCCTTGCCGTCCCTTCCCCCTCAGCCTTAACAGACAATGGGCATTTCACAGCAGGACCTCACTGCTGGGCCCTGGCCAGCTTTCCCAGAAAGAGGCAGCCTCTGTGGTTCCTCTTCCCAATCTCAGGCTCAGGGACCTGTCATCACTTTCCTGTCTCAGGTGAGGTTAGGAGGTGCCTGGGTCAGGCCCACCCACCCATGTGGTCCTCACCTTTGACAGTTAGATGGAGTGTCCCTT